CATTGTTGCTATTTCAAAAATTATTAATAAAGATACGAGCAAGGCCTCACCTTAATACCAAAAAAAAAAAAAAACAAATCAAATAATATAAATTTTTTTTGAATTCTAATTATTAAAACACAAAATATAAGTAAAAGTTGATATTTCTTATGATAGTATTAAGTTTCTTTTAATTTTTCTTCATTTAGAAGTTGTCTAAAACTATGTACTTATATGACTATTTTGTATAAAGCAACCAACTAGAATTGCAAAATTTTGTTTACACAGATCAGCATAACGAAGTCAAAAATAAAAAAAAATGCAAAAAGACAAAAAACAGCAGTTTAAACCTGTCTTGGAGCACTAATTAAAAATATTGAAAAGCAATTTTATCTATAACCCTCTTCTTATATCAACACCAACCTAATTCTAATTCTAATATTAATTTTAATTAAACTGATAAAACATCAAAATCACATGGGTACATGGCTTTAGCTATCCCCTTCATTTGGGTAATATCTTAGAAGAAGGATGCAGTAATACAATACAAAACATATAGTAATATATAGTGTGCCATAATACTCCCAAATATAAAAAATATTGTATTTTTTACGTAGAATTTAAAAGCTTATATTTCAACCTTTTTTTTAAAAGTCAATTTTTTTTTATAATTAGTTAGTAAATTAATAGTTATTTTATTTTGTTAAATTTTTAAAATAAATATTAGTATACAGAAGTAATTGTTAGTATTAAGTGCTATATTAAATTACTTTTTTAAAAAATTTTGTATATATTATTTTTTATTTTTGTAATTGATCTTCTTTGATATAACTTATTTTAGTATTTTCATAATTCACAAATTTTAACTGATTGTATAAAGTACTCTATATAGCACTAGGTATTTGTATTTGAGCAGTACATCAAAGTACTGCACTAGCAGAATATACACTCAAAAAAATTTTTACTTATAGAACAACTGTTAGTTATATAATAAAAAAAACTCCTTAACTTGAATAATAAGATATTCATAACTAAAAAAAAAAAAAATTGTAAATGCTCAGCCCAAATGATGCATTAATTACTTCATTTACATACAATAATAAAAGAGTGACTATTTATATATTATTTTTTGTTTATATCAACTAAAAATAGTAATCAATTGAAATTTCTCAATTCTATATTATTTCACCAATTTATATTATTTTATTAAAAACATTTGTTCTCACTGTTTCTCAACGGTTGATATTGGACTAATAAATATATTTTTTTTTTATAAATAGCATCAGCAAGATAAATAGTCGCATAGTGCAAGTTTATGTCGGCATAGGTGAATTTGACTTAAGTCACTATAATGAATAAATTTTTGCAATAAAGCTTAAAGTAAAAATAGCCACTAAGCAAAAACACAAATACTTACTATTATGCTCAAATTATTCATTTGCTTTAATTTAGCCAGTAAGTATAAAGGATTTTTATTAATAGATTAAATTAAGAACAGCAAAACAAGTTTACCAGACAAGACTACAAATACTTTTTTTTTTTAATATTAAGATAACCACTGCAACCTCCCTAAGTGCATATATATAAAAAACCTCTTTAAATGCATGTTTTTTCTTGGGCTCAACTAATATAACACTTATATATTTTTACATCCCTAAATGTATAACCTCTTTAAATGCATATTTTTTCAATTTTTACTATAGTCCTGACATCATGCATTTAGAGAGAGCTGACTGTAGAATATAATTAATATTATATACGTGACAAACCTTAAATATTGTTGTTTTAAATTTAGGGTAAAAGCTTAAAGTTAAGGTTAGGTAGGTATTAGTTATATAAATATCTAAATTTACACATGATCTTATATATATATATGGGGATGATAGTGAATAAAACCTACAGAGAAGGCTGGTAGAAATGCTTATAAAAATAAAAATAAATTTTTTATAAAAAAAAAATAAGCAAACAAATAAACAAATTAAATAAATAATAATAAAAAACAATATATACACTGCATCATCAAAAATTAAATGATACGAATCTTTAACCAATAAAAATACTCTAATAGACCCTCTACACTGCATACAATTAATTAAAACAAAAAGCTTGATAACTACACTTAATACTGGCTATAACAGTAATCAACTAAAAACCTCTTTGAGCACATAAACGCCAAATTCAATTTTGATAAATCACCAAATTAAAAGCAAACACTAGACAACTCCATCATATTCCCATTACTGCTAAACATATTAATCATACTAAACTTTACATTCATAACTTGAACATAAAATCAATCTTTATTAACAACTAACCACTTTAAACATCAAAAAATCTTATAATTCTATCACATTAACAAAAATAAAATAATTTGCTTCGACTTATCTCGAAACCTGATTGGCCAATATGATAAAAAAAAATTCCAGCGCATGAGCAGGCGCACAACTTGTTAATTTGTAACAATTTAATTGGCAACGCAGCTTAGGTGCACCAGAATACCCGACTTTACCTTATAGCAAAATAAAATTGATTAAGCTTATAAATTTAAACCCTCAGTTTTGAGTAGGCATTTGTAAATACTGTCTCTAATTTGACAAAGTAGACTATACAACTCTTTGTCAAAGCCCTTAGCTGACCTACAAAATTTTTTTCACCCCTTGTAATAACGACCAATCGAATTTCAGGATCAGGTGTAATATGAAAATCGAGACAAAGCAAAAAAACAAGAATAACTCTAAATTTTAATTAGGAAACCACCTTCTGTGGTCTAATGAAAAATATTCCTTGTAAAATTTTACATATAAATACCACATTATCCTAGTCCTAACCCTAACTTTAACGTAGTTTTCTTAACTTTAATTTTGCGTATAACTTTTTACTTAGAAAACAAAACATGTTGTTTTGACAATCACATTACACCTGATCCTGAAATTTGATTGGTCGTTATTACAAGGGGTGGAAAAAATTTTGTGGGACAGCTACCTAAAATCTCTAAGCCTACTCATCAAATTATAAGATCTGATGTAACATAAAATTTCAAAAAAATGAAGTTTTTCAAAAATTGACAGTAACAAAATTTTCTTAAATTTTGTTACAAACTACCTTTTGTGCTCTAAAAAAATTCCTTGCAAGATTTTAGTATAATATGTACCCTATTAGACCTTTGTACTTTTTCAATAATAATTAAAATTTCTAAATCTGATGAGATTTATTTCATCTATCAAAAGCGGATTTCTCTGCAACCAATAAAAACTAGTGCTAGGAGAAAATTAGTAAATCCTCAACCCAACTTTACAGAAATGTTGAGTCTGGTAATTCATCCACAAAAATTTTCTGAAGCGAAAGATTTTAAAGTAATAAGCTTCATTTTTAGGGCTAGGAATAAGACCGAGGAAGGACATATCTTATACCAAAAGTTTAAAAGGAACTTTTTTTGTTAGAACGCAGAAGGCAGTTTCATAGGTGAAATTTCGAGTTATTAGCAATTTTTTAAAAGATGCGCTTTTCACGTTACATCTAGTCCTGAAATGTCTATAAAGTAATACTGAATAAGGCATTCGAATTGTTATTCGACAAGTTATGTGAGTCAATTTATATGATCATTCAATTAATTAATTTAATTATTAATTAATACTAAGAATGATTTTAATATTTTGAAATTATCGTATATATATTATACATATAAGCTCAGCATTAATAGACATCAACATTTATAATGATCTATAACATGTCCATAGTCTTGAAATGTTCTAGATTTTAGTTCGTATTTTAACTAATGACTGCTACACAGAACATAATCTTAATATATCTAACTTTCCACATGTTGGAATGTCAAGTGATTGAGTAATATAATTCATGTTTTTGATATCTTCTAAAACTTTTTTGTATGAACTAAATTCATGGTTAATTTCTTTGTGAGAATGAATAATATATGTTTTGAATGCTGCTTAGGTAAATTTTTTTAATGCATTTTGTGTTACTTCCGTGAACTCAGATTCTCGAGCATTTGAAAGGTATTTATTTAGAACCTTTTTTGTAACATCGTAGTCGATATATCTACTTAATCTATTTTCATCCAGAATATTTATGTGCTATTGTTGCAAGCAGATAAATGTCAATATACAATCAAATAGTAAATTATATAATATAATAAAAACATTTTACCTAGAATTCTTAATATATTCATCAGCGAGATTTTTGAGATTCTTATTAAAAGTGTAACAGAATTCATTGAACATTGCTTTAGACTTTTCGAGAAGCTGATGGAAGTCGTCATCTGCAAGTTTAGAAGTTGGTAATACTGTGGCTACCAACTGGTCGAATGCCATTTGTACCGGATTACGAGTTCGAAGGAAAAGACACTTTAATTCCTCAAGCCATATTCGGAGTCTTGCCTAAATAAATCATAATAGTTTAGTTAATATATACAATTTTTATTGAATATGCTTATTTCTACCATACGAAAGTTGATTGATCATGATACCAAATGACCACAATTATAAAAAAATAATACAGTCATACCTAGATTATAACACACCTTTTTCTCAATATATTTTATAATTTTTTGAAGATAAAACTAAAGCTTTGCTATAACACAATATATAAAACGTCTAAAAAAAAATTTTACTCTGCCTATATAACTAAGATAACAAATAAGAAGGGATATAACCCAATGGAGATATAACCCAGATACAACTGTATATATATTTCATTTCTATCTCTCAGAAATTTTAGACATTTAAAATAATTCCAGTATAACATACGTACCTCTAAAGTCGATTCACTAATTAATTGTTGTTCTTTATTTTGATTTTGTGATAATGTTGATTGTTCTCTGATTAGATGTTCTTTAAGTACAGACGATTGATCCCAGCTTCTTTGCTTACTTTGATGTATCATGTTAGCCATAGAAAGAATTTCAGGATGATCTGCAACAAATGTTGCAATCTCAAATACCGATACATCTTGACGGAATATATTAACTGGTCCAAGAGCTAAAGCGAAAGTTATAAGAAATTAATAAATTAATAAATAAAATATGATAATTCTTACTCAAAGTAAATGGTTGATTTGTTGTATCTAGAAATGTACTTGTCCGGCGTGGGTACTGTTCCTCATATAAATCAGAAGTTGATTCCAGTTCATAGGTTTGTGAAAAAGGAATAGGATCTGCTGTACATTGGAGCCACGGTTGATCGAAAACATCATAGATAGGTTTCAGATCAAGTGCTTGGGTACTAGTTTCAGAATTTTGTTGATTAGAAACACCGTTAACTTCAAATGAGGTGATACCAACTTCAGAATTAGATTGGTCAGAGAGAATTGAAGTGCTGCTAGCTTCAGATGGAGATCTACTAATTTCAGGAGTATGCTGTCTTGAAAGAATTGGGGTGGTGCTTAATGTTTCTCATAACGAAACAGCCGTAGTTGCATCTTGACTTTAAATGGATTTTTTTATTTTAATTTTATACATATATTAAATTTGATCATTCGATTATATTTGAATATACCTTTCTCTACTATTAAGACGTTTAAGTTTATGTTCAATTGAGGTGATGCTAAGTGAATTTTTTTATTTAATTTTTTATATATATTAAATTTGATTATTCGATTAGATTTGATTATACCTTTTCCCACTATTAAGATGTTTAGGTCTACGTTCAATTGGGGTGGTGCTTAACATCTCTTGTAAAGAAACAGCTCTAGTTGTAGCTTGACTTAAATAGAATTTTTTTATTTTAATTTTTTACATACTTATATTAAATTTGATTATTCAATTATATTTGATTATACCGTTCGCCACTATTAAAATGTTTAGGTCTACAATCAATTAGGGTAATGCTTGATGATTCTTGCAAAGAAACAGCTGTAGTTGCATCTTGACTTTAAATAGAATTTTTTTATTTTAATTTTTTTACATACTTATATTAAATTTGATTATTCGATTGTACTTAATTATACCTTTTTCCACTATTAAGACATTTAGGTCTACGTTCAATTGGGGTAGTGCTTGACGTTTCTTGCAAAGAAACAGTTGTAGTTGCAACTTGACTTTAAATGGATTTTTTTTTTAATTTTAATCTTTTACATATATATATTAAATTTGATTATTCGATTATATATACTTGATTATACCTTTCTCCACTATTAAGATGTTTAGGTCTACGTTCAATTGGCATAGTGCTTGACGTTTCTTGTAAAGAAACAGTTGTAGTTGCATCTTGACTTTAAATGTTTTTTTTTTTTTTTAATCTTTTACATATATTAAATTTGATTATTCGATTATACTTGATTATACCTTTCTCCACTATTAAGACGTTTAGATCTACGTTCAATAGACCAGTTTTGGGTCCCACCTAACAAAATGTCTGTTAATATTTCTAAAATAAAAACATAGAATAATATTGGACTTATTACCTCGTTTTGTTGGCTTTTTCTCAATCGCCTTCTTGGTTTTAACGGTTAGACCTTTTTTTGGCATTTTAAAATCTGTGTACAAACTAATACTAATATAATTTTATCCGAATGTTTTATTCTATGCATTTATATATTCATTCTTACGAATAATACCTTTTTACTCAAGGCTCCACTTTCAATTTTTATTACAAGGCACGTATTTTAATAAATAAAAGATTTGATTTTCTTTTAATCACAATTTTCTTTTATACTGTACAATTTAACTTTCTTATTACACATTATAATTTTTTTTTATTTTTTTTTATTTTTTTTTTTATTTTTTTTCTACTTAGGCCATCTTGCCTTTAGTCTCCTTTATTACTTTACGATTGTATGGTATTACAAAAGGCCTTA